CGGTAAGGGGCCAGCCCAGTGTCTGGAGACTCCTGGCTCTGTCTCCAGTGGGTGCCCTGCAGGTGCGGCGGTGAGGGCTGTCTGGTGGGGAGAGTCCGGGGCCCACAGGGACCGGGGACATTTGTGGCTCTGGGGAGCCTGTCTCAGCGGGTGAACAGAGGGGGAACATCGCGGAGCAGAGCCTGAGCAAGAGATGTGGCACCATCGTCTGGCACACTGCACACTGCCCCTCCGTGCTGCCAGCCTGCGGGACAGGGACTGGGGGGGCTGCAACTGTTTGGGGGGCTGCCCCCTGTTTATTTTTCTAGCAGAGCTCCCCTTTTTTTGGGGGGGGCATGTACATATGTAAATGGAATTATTAAAGTAAAGAGCTGCTGGTCGGGGCCGTTTCCCTTGTTTTGTGCCTTTTTTTGGGCTGAATAAAAAGGGGGGTGGGCTGGGGGGTGATGATGTCATTTGGGGCACCCCAACATCACTGGGGGGGTGATGATGCAGCAGAGGAGCAGGTGAGTGGGGGATGGGGAGTCCCCCCTAAAAGGGGGGGTCACAGCCCAAAAATGCCTGAAAATTCATGGGGGGGGTTAAAAAATATTAAAAACTCTAAATATGGGTGTGAGGCATTGAAACGGAGAAAGATCTCTCATTTTTATATATATTGAAAAATAATATTCATTTATATATATAAAAGGATTTCAAAATAAAAACCTATATCTACTATGTTATATAAAGGATTTTAGAATATAAAAAAATCTAAATAGAGATATGTAGGGTTTTAAAATACAAAAATAACTCGTGTATCTATAAATTAAAAAATAAAGGACTTTAAAATGCAAAAAAAATGTTATATGAGGGAATTTAAAATGGAAAAAAGTCTGAATAGATAGAGCTAGCTACGCTTACTGTGTGTTACATAGTAAGTCTTAAGTAGATACATGTAATCTAAATGGAGATTATATATACATGTAAATAGATACCTAGTCTAAATAGATATAATTGTAAGTAGATATCTAAGTCTAAAAAGATATTGAAGTGT